TTTTTTTTTTTTTGTTTTTTTTTTTATTATTATTATTATTATTTTTTTATTTTTTTGCCATCTTTAAAAGGAAACCCTGAGAAAATGCCCCCATCAGATTGGTGTGTGGGCAGTCTGTACAACATTTTCTTGGTTGATAATTGACATTGGAGGGCTCAACTCATTGTAGGTGGTACTGTCCCTGGACAGGTGGTTCTGGGTTATATAAAAAAGCATCTAAACAAACTATGGAAAGCAAGCCAGTAAGCAACATTCCTTAATGGTTTCTGCCTCAGTTCATGCCTTATTTCCCTTGGTGATGGACTGTAAGGTGGAAGTGTACGATTAAATAAACCCTTCCTCCCCAAGATGCTTTTGGTGATGATGTTTTTACAGCAGTAGAAATCTAGGACAGAAATCAGTACCAGGATTGTGAGGTATTGCTGTGGTAGATCTGACTATGCTAGAGAATAGTGGGGCTGGGAAAGCCGTTAGAGTGCAAAGATGAATAGGTTGTTCCGTGGAAGCTCGGGAGATACGAACGCTGAGAGCAGTGCAGACGATGGAGGCTGGCTTGTAAAGTTCAGAGGGAAGATTGAAAGTCCCTCAAAGACTTGATATTTGATACTGTATTAAGAATATGTGGTTTCTGGTTGGCTGGGGCTGAAGAATCAACTGTGATTAAAAAGCGACCAGCAGCATTGAGGTCAAATCTTCTGGGAAGTATTTCCTCATGGGCAGTACACAAAGCTTTGGTCCAGAGTGGGCCAAGGCTGCATTTTAAGCTGTCAGCCAAAATAATCCCTAAAGTGAGGGATTAGAAAGTAGGGAGTTTAACTGGGCACATGGTGGCACATATACATAATTCTAGCTCTCTGGAGGCTGATCAGGAATATTGCCACAAATTTGAGGCCGCATAATGTGTGCCAGAACTATGTTACCAGATCCTGTCTAAAAACATTGTCACTAAGTCCCTCCCACGTTAAGTGGAGTGAATTGAGCTGTCTCAGGAAAGAATTTGTTATATTTTTAAAATCTTACATCTTTATAGAACCAGTATGTAATCAATAAAATCAGGAGATGCATATCTCACTGGTGTCAATTTTCAGATCCTTGTCGGGTTTCCCATTTCACCCTGAAGTGTCCTTCGTAGGAGACAATCCAGGCTCGGTCCTTTCTTGATGCTAGTGTCCTGTGCGGTAGGATGGCTCAGCACAGCAGCAGCTCTGTGCTCCCTGCACTGTCCATGGCTTTGGTGCCGGTAGAGAGGATGGGCTGCTTGGATGTTTGGTTTGGTTTGGTTTTTTGAGACAGGGTTTTTCTGTGTAGCCTTGGCTGTCCTAGACTCACTTTGTAGACTAGGCTGGCCTCAAACTCACAGAGATCTTCCTGCTTCTGCCTCCCCAAGTGCTGGGATTAAAGGCTCAAGCCACCATGCCCGGCTCAGGCTGCTTGTTTTATGGAACACCCTGTCTAAGTCACTGTTCTGTTGCTGAGAAGAGATACCCTGACCATGGCAGCTCTCGTAAAAGAAAGCAGTTAAGTGGAGCTTGCTTACATTTTCAGAGGGTTAGTTCATGATCAGCGTGGCTGGAAGCAGACGGACAAGGTGCTGGAGCAGCAGCTGCGAGCTTTACCTCCCAATCTACAGGCAGAAATCAGAAAGGGGCTCTGGGCCTGGCATGTCTCAGACGAGCCTGCATGCTACTCACATCCTCCAACAAGGACATCTACTAATTGTTGCCGGCATATCCTCTAAGGACTAACCATGCAGATAGTGAGCCTGGCCTGTCTAGTCGTTCTCATTCAGATCATTGCCATCCCTCGCTTTTGAGGATTTACCTGATCATTTGGCTAAGGTGGTGTCTTCCAGGATTTTCTACCGTAAAATTACTTTTTCCTTTGTCATAAGTTTTTCAAGGATGCAACTTCTTTACTAGCCTGTTGATATTTCTTAACTCCAACAGTATAAGGGCAATGTGTGATTTGGTAGTTGGCTTATTTGAAATGTTCTAGTTCCTGGAGTCAGGATGAGTTGTCTGCTAATGGCCTTCCTGGGTCTTGGGATGTCATCTGTCTTCCCAGAGCTGTTAGGCTTGGGTCCCATTCTTCTAAGTGTCTTACAGGCCTGATCACAGCTGCCTGTCTACCTATGTCACTTAATTTTCTCTTTGTTTTTGTTGTTGTTGTTTTGGGGTTTTGTTTTTTTGTTTGTTTTTCCAGACAAGGTTTCTCTGTATAGCCTTGGCTGTCCTGAACTTTATAGACCAAGTTGTCCTAGAACTCACAGATCCGCCTCCCTAAGTGCTGGGATTACAGGCCTACGCCACAGGCATGGCTTTTTTATTTGTTTTTTTCAAGACAAAGTTTCTCTGTATAACATTGGCTGTTCTGACCTGTGTAGACCAGGCTGGCCTTGAACTCAGAGATCCACCTGTCTTTGCCTCCCAAGTACTGGGATTAAAAGCGTGGCCCACCGCTGCCGGGTTTTTTGTTGTTGTTTTCCTTTGTTTTTCTTCTAGATAGGGTTTCTCTGTGTAGCCCTGGCTGCCCTGTCCTGGTACCACTACTGCCCAGCTCCTTGGCCGTGTTGTTGTTTAACTGTTTTTCCTAGGTTAGCCTCAGACTTTTGGGCTGCACTGTAATCTCCCTAAGTAGCATTTTTCTGGTTTTGACTGTATTGCTTTGATAGAGGATAGCATTTAGAGAAACTGACAGAAGAGACTTGTACACTATATGGAACCATGAACACTTGACCTAGTAATTCTTATCTGTTTTTCTTTTCTTTTTTTTATAATCTTTTTTAAAAATTGTTTGCTTTGAGACAGATTCTCACTATATCACCCTGGCTATCCTGAAACTCACAGAGGTCAGACTGCCTCTGCCTCCCAAGTGTTGAAATTAAAGGCGTGCACCGCCATGCCCAGCTCTTCTTTAGGTCCCTTTTTATAATCCTTGTGTAGTACAAGGGACTCAGGTCTCTGAGTCCCTCAGATAATTACCTGCCTTTGAACCTGTCCCACCGCAGCTCCCCAGTTAAAGATCTCTGATGACCGGCTGACTGTGGTTGGAGAGAAGGGCTACTCCATGGTACGGGCTTCTCATGGGGTACGGAAAGGCGCCTGGTACTTTGAAATCACTGTGGATGAGATGCCACCAGATACTGCTGCCAGGCTGGGCTGGTCCCAGCCCTTAGGTAAGCTGGGGGTACTGTGTGGGCCTCACAGCAGGATTAACTGACCCGGGGTTTACCAGATGATGGTCTAAAAATTAAACTCCTGAAGTAGCAGCCAGTGTGGTATTCCTAGTATACTGTGAGAGATAGTTTGTAAGCAGTTTCCAAAATTGACTAAAAAGATGTACAAACAAAATAGAACCTTTTTCCTTTAACAAACCAGTTAACTTACAGTCCTCTAATTTCCACGTATCTTTTCGTTTGGACAGGTAACCTTCAAGCTCCTTTAGGTTATGATAAATTTAGTTATTCTTGGCGGAGCAAAAAAGGAACCAAGTTCCACCAGTCTATTGGCAAACACTACTCGTCTGGCTATGGACAAGGAGATGTCCTAGGGTTTTATATCAATCTTCCCGAAGACACAGAGACAGCCAAGTCATTGCCAGATACTTACAAAGACAAGGTGAGATTGTCCTCCTTCAGCGGTACCCTGGCTTTGACGACCAATGGCAGTCAGTGCCTATAGCAATTGTTTTGAGTTCTGTTGCGACCCTGCTGTGTGTTTTTCCCTGTCTTTTGATGTGGACATTTACAGACATAGTAGCAAAATTGAAAGAACTTAAGGTTTATTACCTGAGTAGTGACCTCAGTTCGACCATTAACATGTTGTTTATCAGATGCCACAGGGAAGTGGTAGACATTGCTGTAACCCCCTGGTAGGTACTTCACGAAATGTATCATTAGCCATTGTTCAACTTTGTTCTTCATATATATATAATTTTTAAATGAAATATACAAATTTTAAGTCTTTAGTCAGGTACAGAATTTTTCCGGTGTTTTTAATTATTATTAAAAAAAAAGATTTTAGTATTTAGAATCAAGAATTAATCCCAAGGCCTTCTACATGCTAAGCCAGCAGCTTGCTTGTTTTCTAAGTTTCTTTAATATTATGTGAGTGTTTTCCCTATGTATGTATGTATGTATGTATGTATGTATGTATGTATGTATGTATACGTGTATGCCATGTGTATGCCTGGTACCCACAGAGAGAGTTGAATCTTCTTGAACTAAAGGCACAGATGATTGTGAGCTGACATGTAAACACTGTGAATCAAACTGGCTCTCTGCAAGAGGAACAGCCACTCTTAACTGCTGAGCTGTCTCTAGTGGTGGTGCCCACCTTTAATCCCAGCAGTTGGGAGGCAGAGGCAGGCCGATCTCTGTGAGCTTGAGGCCAGCCTGGTCTTTTACAGAATGAGTTTCAGGGCAGTCAGGGCTGTTACACAGAGAAACTTTGTCTCAGAAAAACTAAAATAATTAAATAAATAAATAAGTAAAATTTAGTTGCTTTTATTTTATGAATGTTTTGCCTGCTTGTATGTCTGTGCACTGTGGGTGCCTGGTGCCCAGAGCCAAGAAGAGGACAATGGATCCCCTAGAACTGGCTTACAGATTGTTGGGAGCCACCACGTAGGTGCCAGGGTTCCCTGGAGGAGTGGCCAGTACTCTTCACTACTGAGCCATCTCTCTAGCCCCTCTATTCAGTTTTTTTAAGGCTTGTTATTTAAATTTTCATTTATTTATGGCTATTGCTGTTTTGTCTTCATGTACATCTGCACACCAGAAGAGGGCATCGGATCCCATTATAGACTGTTGTCAGTTGCCTTGTGTGTGCTGAGAATTGAACTCAGGACCTCTGAAGAAAACCAGTGCCTTTAACCACTGAGCCATCTCTCCAGCCCCAACCCTCTATTCAGTTTTAATGGTATCTTTTTTAAAAGAAAATTTTTTAAATTATGTGTATGTGTGAAGATGTTATACCTGAGTGTACCACCCACAGAGGTCAGAGGTGTCAGATTGAGCCACTGGAGTTGGAGTTACAAGTAGTCATGAGCCACCGTGTGTGGGGCCTAGGAACAACACTTAGGCCCTCTGCAGGAGCAGTAGCTGTTCCTAGCCATGGAGCCATCTCTCTGTGCAGCCCTGATGTACTTCTGATGAACCAAAATGTTAATGTTTATGAGGGGTGGTTTTTAGGGTTTTTTTGGCATTTTCTTTTATATATTTATTTCTGTGATAAATAACTAATAATAAATTAATAAATTTTGAGATACCCACAAGTCATGAAATATTCCTCCATGTTTACCTTTGGCCTGACATTAGGTCACTGAGGACTTTGAGTTAATACTTTGGAGGTTGAGATTTTTTTCCCTAGGAATTAAGTCATTCCAACATGATATGTTTAATTTCTTGTGTTCTGCATTAGATTTCTTTGGTCTGCTTAGTGGAAATCAAATAGTCATACAAATGACTCTTGTACTGATCCCAAAAATGTTATAGAATAAGTTTTAGTGGGCTGGAGAAATGGCTTAGCAGTTAAGAGCACTGACTGCTCTTCCAGAGGACCTGAGTTCAATTCCCAGCACTTACATGGTGGTTTACAACTGTAACTCAGGATCTGACAATGTCACCCAGACATTCGTACAGGCAAAACACCAAGATACATAAAGTAAAATAATTAAAAAAAAAAGTTTTAGGCTCTGTGAAATTTTTTCCCAATAATTTTTCAGTTAATTTACTTTTCTTTTATAGGTACTTTGTGTGTGTGTGTGTGTGCGCGCGCGTGCGCTTGTGTTTAAGTGTATGTGTATAATTCTCTTACTAAGGACCTTTTTCCACACTGTTTAACAAACATGGACAGCTAGTCTCTTCTCAGAAGCACTTAGGAACCAGGTGTAGTGAGTGGCTCATGTCTTTAATCCCAACACTTGGGAGACAGAGGCAGGTATATCTCTGTAAGTTTGAGTTCAGCCTGGTCTACAAGGTGAGTTCGAAGGCAGCCATAGCTACATAGTGAGACCCTGAACTGAGGGGGAGAAGAGGTCACTTAAGAATTAAAAATTGGGGGTTGGAGAGATGGCTCAGTGGTTAAGAGTACTTACTGCTCTTCCAGAGGACCTGAGTTCAATTCCCAGCACCCACATGGCAGCTCACAATTGTCTCTAACTCCTGTTTCAGTGGATCTGACACCCTCACATAGACATACGTGCAGTCAAACACCAATAAGATAAAACTAAATTAAAAAAAAAAGAAAAAAGGAATTGAAAATTGACAACACTCAGTGGCAAAGACTTTATAAGGACGTGGCACTGTCTGTGTGAATCTGACTTTATTTTCTCCATTATGATAAATCTGGTTCTTCAATGTGTCTTTTTCTTTTTTCTTACTGGCTTTTCAAGGCTTTGATAAAGTTCAAGAGTTATTTGTATTTTGAAGAAAAAGACTTTGTGGACAAAGCAGAGAAGAGCCTAAAACAGACTCCCCATAGTGAGGTGAGTCACAGCCATAAACATGTCGAAATAGTAAGTCTTTGAAGATGGAGACCCTACGAGGATAAAAGTGAGGCAGCCGAGGCTCAAGGGGACTGAGGGCTGCTGGGTAACTCACTGCCTGCAGCTGAGAACTCCCTTCTTCCTGTAGAGCGTGACTCCCTCTGTGTCCTGTGTTGCATGAGAGTGTTCTTCCTGGACTTTAAAGAAAGGTCTGCAAAGACAGTGAACCTGATAAGTAACTCTGCAGGAGATTACAGAAGCCAGGGAGGTAGATACTCTTCTCATCGAAGGAGATGCCACGCACAGAGGAACACCAGAACTAGAGGAGCCTCTGCCATGTCACTTGGAAACAGCAGGCGCTGGCTCACTCTGTTAGAATTGTCCCTCCCTTCCTTACCCTTCCCAGGAGTCATACTGCAGCCCAAGGTCACAGCACAATCAAAGGGCTGCTCGCACAGCTGAGTAGACCTCAAGGACCAAAGATCAAAAAAGAAAGGGAAGTGGGGGGAAGAAAAGTTCTGAGAAGCCACAGGGTCAGTAGTAGAGTGTGAGGTAAATAAACGAGAGTTCTAGTTGTGTGAGGGCAAAAAAATTATATGACTTAAAAGGTGAAACAGGCACAGAAGAGTTCTTGCCCGAAGGAAAAGTCTTTCTGACACTTCTTATCAATACAGAATGATGAAAGCTGGGTGTGTGGCACAGTGCTTCCGAGGTGCACACAGGAGTGGAGGGCCACCCTCAGCTGCAGTGAGCTGGAGGCAAGCCTGGACCTCAGGAGACTCTTGTCTCGGTCCCTCCTCCACGTAAAGCATAGTCAGTAGTGGAATATAGAACTGTTTGGTATATGTAGCAGGGAAATTCAAAAACAAGCCTAAAGTCAACTGAAATAATACATGTTTACATTAATTTCACTTGAAAAGTCTAAAGTAGCATATAAATTAAGGTACTTTTACTATATGAGATGTCTGTTATTCTTAGAATGAGTATATTATTGTCATTCTGGTAGCAGTATTGTGTTCTGCAATTGAGGATTTTTTTAATCTTTTTTTATTTTGTTCTTTTGTAAAATTCTGAAGTCAAACCTTGATCTTTATTTCAGATAATATTTTATAAGAATGGTGTCAATCAAGGTGTGGCTTACAAAGATATTTTTGAGGGAGTTTACTTTCCAGCCATCTCACTGTACAAGAGCTGCACGGTATGTTTCCTGCATCTGGTCTGCGTATAACTTAAAGGAAGTGTGCGGGTGGGTTGTGATGAAATAGTCGGATCTGAGAGGAAAGTGATTTCTAGAAAGAAATCCAAACAGCTTCTCAGAGGCCTGGAAATGTACACACATTTGGAGGTCTCGAAATATTTGCATGGATGAAATCGTGTGTTAGTATGCACCATGCTTTGCAGGTGGTGTTGTCTAATGTGAAAGTTGTAACGCATATTCATTTGTAAATCATTGGTGTCATACGTTTGATGACCTGTGTTGCTTACTTTATGTGTGTATGTATCCAGGTATGGTGGCACATGCCTTTAACCCCATCACTTGGGAGGCAGAGGCCAGCTGATCCTGTGAGTTTAAGGCCAGCCTGGTCTACACAGTGAGTTCCAGGACAGCCAGACCTTTGTAGTGAGGCCTAGTCTCAAATTGAAAAAAAAAAAAAAAAGCATGAAGGAAAGGACTATTTCTTTCCTTACTGTTTGTTTAAAAAGGAAAAATGAGCATATGGAGGTTTCCATGTTAGTTCATTACCTTCTATGGAACAAAAGTAAAATGAGAAAATCTCTAGGTTCCAAACAAAAATCAGTGAGAAGTCTGCTACCACCTGATGTCTGATAGACATTGGGGGATTAACCACTTTGAGCAATGGTGAAGTGTATCTTGTTTGTTGCAGTTAAACTCTTAGTACCTTAGCGACATGGTTGTTATTTTGGAACAGGGTCTGCTGTGTAGCTCGGGCTAGTCTCAGCCCCGAGATCCTCCTGCCTCACCCTCTGCAGTGTGTGTATCACAGGCCTTACTTCCCCTTATTTCCCTAAGTACTGAACTTTTGTTGTCCTTTTGCTCTTTTCTTTTTTTTTTTTTTTTCTCTTGTCTGTTTGAATTGAACTTATCCCAGGTTTCCATTAACTTTGGACCATCCTTCAAGTATCCTCCAAAGGATCTCACTTACCACCCTGTGAGTACCATTAGAATGTGTACATGAATCCTTGATGTTTTTATTTTTTACCATCGCTTTTGTAATCACTATTTTCCCGTTTCTTGTTCCCCCTGCAGATGAGCGACATGGGCTGGGGTGCTGTGGTAGAGCACACACTAGCTGACGTTTTGTATCACGTGGAGACAGAGGTGGACGGGAGGCGCAGTCCACCCTGGGAGCCCTAGCCAGCCCTTGCTTCAGACGGCTTTGTGGAATAAGCTTGGGGTTTTTGCTTTTGTTTCTATAAAGTGTCAAATATTTTCCCAAAGATGATCAAGGTACAGGAGGCTGGAGGACTGCAGCAGACTCCCCTCCAGCACTCCCACCCCTCTTCAGCTCTTACCGCGAGTGCCATCTGCCCCCTGTAAGACCGGTGCTCTGCCACATGCCTGCTGTCTCATCACCTGCCTGTGTTTTCTACAAAGGGAATAATCATGCCCAAGCAGATTGCTTATTTAAAGATGGTCGCACCCCTGCTGGTTCCTGGGGAGGCAAGCTTGTTTCTGAGAGTGGCCGAAATCAGTGGCAGTACATTGCAAAGCAGTCTAATGGCAGTCTTTTTGGTGTGGAGTTTGGGGATCTGTATAGCTAGTGGATTTCTACAAACTATAATTGTGAAAGGAATTTGCCTGCAAGTTAAACAGAGATCTTTTCTCTAATTAAACTTGTTTTCAAACGAGTGTAGTACTTGGCTTCACTTGAGGTTGAGTTCCTGTTGGTGACAGCAGCTTGAGCTTTATGAGGCGGCAGACAGCACTGGCAGAATGGGACAGGCTTCTGACTTAGGTCTCAACTCCTCTCTCGTTGCTCTCCTCCTCCCTGGGCAATCAGGCATTTTCACTGTCCCATGTAAACTGGAATCTCAAAGACAGCAAGCGTGTCAAAGGCCTGCTTCAGCTCTTCTCTTGGAGCGTGCAGGTTGTTCTCTGCCTGCCTGCCTTCCTAATAGCCAGGAGTTAAGATCGAAGAGTGACGATGAACCTGCCTGTAGGAAGGTTCTTTAGTCCCCTCCCTGTTTACATACATTCTGTGGCAAATGCAAACCCCTAGGGTTAGGTAAAGGCTGCCCTATGTTTTTTTGTTTTTACTTAAGTACAAGGTAAAGTGATTCACCAGGAACTAGTGGGATGCAGAATTATTATAGAGATTCCTATTGTTCTCGTAATTACTTTGTCTTGCTATTTAAGAAATCCCCCAAGGTTCAAGTGAATATTATTTTGTTTTGTTTTCTTTTGTTTTTCAAGACAGGGTTTCTCTGTGTAGCTTTGGCTGTCCTGGACACACTTTGTACACCAGGGTGGAGTTGAATTCACAGAGATTCATCTGCCTCTGCCTCCCGAGTGCTCGGATCAAAGGCGTGTACCGCTACACCCTTCTAGGTGACTATTGTCTTAAGGAAAATGGTGATACTATTACACTTGTCTCTTACTGAGTCACCCAGACTCCCTGTTTCATACACTCAGTATCAAAGCTCTTTGAGGCAGGGTCTATCTGTAGCCTGGCTGGCTATGTAGACCAGGCTGGTCTCAAACTGACAGAAAACTACCTTCCTTTGCTTCCTCTGGGGGTGTCAGTCGTCTTCTAGACACCTACTGGTGTCTAGACTGGTCTGAGAAAGACAAGCCAGCTTATAGAGTGAGGTCATCAGCATTTGAAGGACTCCAGAGAAAACAAAGTGATGTTATTAGGAGAAACTAGACGTAAAGTGTTAGCACAAGTCTCCTGTCCTACCTAAGTTTAAAACTAGATGTTTGTGTATTTGAAACGTTGGAGGTTATCAAAGTGATGCTTTACTGGACAATATTTAGTGTTTGAAAGAAAAGCCCAGGTGCTAGTGGGTCCTACCATTAATTCCAGCACTCAAGAGAGGCTGAGCTAGGATAAAGAACAAAATTGAAGAATGAAACAACAAAAATGTGTGTGCAGTTTTGAACTTGGATGTGTTAATAAGGCTCATTTGAAAGATTCAAAAAAGAACTACCCATATAGAGGCACCTACTGGTACCTAGGTTACCATTGACAACTAGTTTTATTGAAATGTAAAATTAAACAAATGTGTAATACATCTCAAACAGCACAAAGATACACTTAACAGGGAGTGAAGGAGCAAATGACAGTCCAGTTACAGCCACAGTGCTTCCTGAAGGCCCTTTTACCAGTACCCTCCTTGCTCTACTGAATTTTTCAGCAAATGGCTGCCTTCGCTTAGCTAATCCTGGTGATGGTTTTATCAGAAAAGCTCTACAGTGCCCTTCCTCACCCTGAAGCTCCAGGATGAGTGATACTCTAACTGTGTCAAAGTAGACTGAAAAGCAATCAGAATGAATTGTAATAAATATCAGTTGTTAAGACTTCAATAAATATCAGTGTTCCCACTCTGTTCTATTCATAAATAAGCTAGAATTCTTTGCAAATGATAGGAATTACCCACACTACTACAACCATAAAGGACAGAAAAGTGGGTCAGCAAAATGGCATTTGCAGATACAAGTGCTTGCTGCCTACCCTGACATCCCAGAGGTGGGGGTGTACGCTCCTGCAGTTGCCCTCTGACCTCCATGTTCTGCAGTAACTGTGTCATCCTTAACACATTCACCAAAGGAATCCAATATATTCCAGCACGTACAGATGAGAGTGCAAACAAGTGGCAATCAGGACAGTTCTGTGGAGTCAGTTTTCAGTTCCCTCCTCCCTTCTAGAGTTACCAGTCTTGGTGGCAGGCACTTTAGATACTGACACTGAGTCATTTTGCTGATCCCAACTTAAATTAGTTTTATTTTTTGTTTTGTTTTCGAAACAGGGTTTCTCTGTGTAACAGCCCTGGCTGTCCTGGACTCAACTTTGTAGATTAGGCTAGCCTCGAACTCACATAGATCCCCCCTGCCTCTGCTTTCTGCTGGGATTAAAGGCTTGCGCTACCATGCCCAGCTCTCAATTTACATCTTTAAAGTATAACATCTCCAAATCCTGGAACAGGAATTATTCTATTTCCTTCTAGGTATTTTTTCTTCCCAAATGGTAGTATTTTAACCTTTTCAAACAAGGAAATTGCTAGCTCTGAGCCAAGCTGACATCTAATCCGTTTATTACTAACTAAGCTCATAAACAATAGACATAGTCACTATCTTTACATTATTAATATTTCTTATTTGGTATAATCTTTTTAATTAGGCAGATAAAAATCCTGTTATAATCTTCCTCTCCCAAGGCTATTAATCTTAACTGTCAACTCTAGAGAGTTCTGTATTTGTTGTGAGATGGTCTCACTGTGGTCCAAACTAGCCTTGAATTTAGGGTAGTTCCCTGTGTCGTCGTTTAGAGGGTTAAGATTACAGCTGTCGAGCCACCATGCCTGACTAGTACTTTGTTTTTAATGTTTATGGGTGTTCAGCCTACATATTTGTATGTCTGTGCATCATGTACATGTCTGGTGCCCACAGAGGCCAGAAGAGGGCATCAGATTCTCTAGGACTGGAATTGCAATTATGACCTGCCATTGTGGGTGCTGGGAATTGAACCTGGATCCCCTAGAAGAACAACCAGTGCTCCCAACTGTTCTTGTATTTTTGAGGCAGGGTCTCACTCTGTAGCTCTGGCTATCCTTGCATGTAGGCCAGGCTGGCCTCAGTATTAGAGATCCACCTGCCTCTGCCACTGAAGTGCTGGGATTAAGGGCATGTGCCACCACACTGGCTTTTGGCTGGAGCTCTACAAACTAGGAAATTTAAACCAACAGTCTTGGCCCAGAACCCTAATGAAGCTATGATTCTCAGCAGATTCCTTAGAGTGGGACAGATACGTACAGGCAGAATTGTGCGCACATGGTTTTTATTGTGATGGGATAAGTAGGGAGGCCAGCACAATGACTATTCCATTTCTCCTTAGAGAAAAGTTAGGATGTATACTCTGAAAGGGCCCTTTTGTGGGTAGTTTCAAGTTCTGGCCTTTTACAGAGGAGCAGAAGGCCACAGAATTCCCTAGGTAAGCCTTTGCTTTTTGGTGCACACGTTGCCTTCAGGCATTTTGAGCTTGTAAAACAATGGTTCCTGATCCTGAGCACCACCTTATCACATAAGCTGCTGGCATTTTTAGGGTTTTAGGTGAGCATGTATAGGCCTATAAAAGGATTTAAGATTCCTTTCCCTTAGCCTTCACTTCACAGTCAGTGGGAGATGCTAGAGGTCTTTTATTCTAAGCCTCATTTCTATTTTCCCATTCCCTCATTTTCTACTTTTTACCAGTCAGTCTTAGAGTCTTATGACTACTAATCTTCCCATTGTCATCAACTGAAGATTTTAAACAGACTTGCAAGCTTCCTGCTGGAGTTTGCGGGTGGCAAGCAGGTTGATGTAGTGGGCACAGTCCTTAACACCGGGCCTCAGAGGCAGAGCTTGACTCCAGGCGCTTGCGCAGGTGATTGGCAAACTCCATCTGGGTCTGTGATAAGACCTGGTTGATGATGGTCTTCGGTAACCACCCCTGGAGTAGAGACGAGAGCACTGAGATCCCATGCACACTTCTCCAGTACCCTCCCGGGCAGCGGTGACACAGGCTTCCTGGTTAGGGGGTGCACCTTTTGTTGCTCTATTGCCAGAGATAGGATTCCCACCTGTGTGACCCTGAGACATCATTAACCTTTCTCATCACTTCTGTCTGGTCCTAGGAGCACCTCTTTCTACGTGGTCATGATTATACATAAAACTGATTATTTTAAAAATAAAACATAACTCAGGCTATCTTGGAATCAAACGTGATCTTCCTCCTGCCCCTAAATATTGAAGTTTCAGACACTACACACAGCTTTTTAGATGAGGTGAGGAAGCCTTTGCAGGCTTCCACAGTAGTCACTAGCAAGCCATATTTAAGTCTATCAACATCATCAGAATGCAAGAGGAAGGCTGATAAGATGGCTTAGTAGGTCAAAGTAAGTATATACCTCACAGGCCTGGCAGTCTAAGGAAGAGCCCCAAGTCAACAGTGTCCTGATTTTCCACATTGCTGTGACATGTGAGTACCTAAATTCACACACACACACACACACCATGCACTCACAATTTAACGTGTTTTAAAAGGAAAAAAATGCAAGAGTATTCTCTATGTTGGGGGATGGAGCATTTTTGTCACTACTCTATTCCCAGGCCTCTCACCTTGAGGTCGATACTGAGCAGCCAAGTGAACTTAGTCTTTGAAGGACTTCCAGCCACTGGATGAAGCACCATGCAGGTGGGACCGTGCTCAGCTCTGGCAAATGAACAGCAGTCAAGGCAAGGAGACAAATGAGAATTCGTACACTGATTACTTAACACTAGCCACATTTCTAGAGTCCCTTATATTTTAAATTTCATCAGGAAGTCCTTCGCCAAAGTACTATTTACAGTTGGCATGGCTACCAGATCATCAGAACCTGCTGGTTGTAGCTGGAGGCCTCCAGCTGTACGTTCCCCTCCCCCACTGTTAGAACCCAAAGAAGCCTGCTCCTTGCTTGGAAAATTATTAGGATTCTTAGAAGGTCCTCAGCGGGTCAGAAAAAACCAACTGGGTTTTGAAGTGGGGCCACTTTGACCCTTACTTTCTTGTTAAAGTCAAGAGTGGGACTAAGGATCGGTTTCTTGGAAGTGGGAATCCCAGATGACTGCAATTTGGAGACTGCTGCCAGGTTTACCTGATAACACCGCTTTGCTCGGGCATCTCCCCAAAGTGCGTGGCCATGCCTGCCAACACACAGGTGGAGCCTCTGCGCTTGGTACAGCGCACGCTCACAAAGTCACGGGGCCCCACCAGGTTTCCTGCTGCTTCTGCAGCCAGCTCATGGGTGATGATCGTGTCTTTTCCAATCTTCTGCAGGACCTAACACAAGAGAGTGGGAATCAGGACTCAGCCAGTGGTAGGCTAAGTACCCACAGTTCGTTCGGGATCCCTTTGCCTGCCTGTTAGACTGCACTCCGTGGGCCCCTCCCCCCACACCGGGGCTTTCCCCACCTTGATCTCCTTGACATTTGGGTTCCACTCTCCCATGGCCTCCATGCGGTCCACAAGTTCTTCATACAGCCTGTCCATGGGCTGGTCTATCACCACCTCCAGCCGAAAAACCTTGCCCACATCTGGGACTACCTTACTGAGCACTTCGTCCCCGTTCTCCTGCAGAGGGACAGGAGAGGGCCACGGGGTTAACGTTGGAGCAGATTATCCCTAGCCTACTCAGACAATACTAGGTAAGTCTACGCTGAGCGCTGAGCGGTGGGACTGGATCTACTGATAAGGACCCAGTGGTAAGCATGGCCACCACAAGCCTCGTGTATTGACTCAAGACTGGAAGAGGTAACTTGCCTTTTGTCTTGGTAGTGAATGTTGGTAGTATGGGCAGATCCAAAGGAAATGACCCATCGTTCAAAGCTCAAAAGTCTGGCAGACCTGGGAGTGTAAAATGTCTAGTCTACGGGCCAGTTAATTATATAGAGAGGATGTAGGGGGATTTGGTTGGTTCGACATGAGCCATTTCATTTCGGAAGAACCTGTTGCCAGGAAGTTTCAGTGATTTGCCCAAGGACCCTTCACAAAGAGCAGTGCTGAGCCTGCATCCCTGATTAGTCTGTAAGATTCTATTAGTCTGTTTCCATTACTGTAAGAACTTGAAACAAGATGTTTCATTTGAACGTTGGGGGATGGAAAGTGTGTAGGTTTGCTGAAGATATGGCCACCAAAGCGGATCTAATAAAAGAGCTGCTTGGTTTTAACACGAGTCTTGTGACTGGCTCCCAGTAAGTATACAGCATTGAGAGCAGGGCCGTAGACAATACTGGGTCATTGTTGTATGCTCCAGCTCCGGTAGGATGGGGCCCGCATTACCCACTGCGAGCTCATCTACATAGTAGGCTGAACAATACAGAGTGCATTCCAGTATGGTAGGAGGGTAATACAGGGTGAGATCTGTCCCCTCCTGCCAGTGGAGTCTCCATAGCACATGGTTTCTCTTGGATGAGTGTACTGCATTCAGAGGAATAGTGTCTTGTGGAGACACTATAATCAGGTCTTATGGAGAGAGCCGTGTCTGAGAATATAGTCCTTGTTTGTTTTGAGAAAGGATCTCACGATGCAGCCCTGGCTAGGCTGGAACTCGATACATAGACCAGGCTAACCTCAAATTCCCAAAGATCCGCCTGCCTATGCCTCTGAGTGCTGGGATTAAAGGCATCTGCCACCACCGCTCAGCCTTGAGGATATGTTCTTAGGAGAGTTCTGAGTAAAACTGCTTAGCTGGTGATCAGTCATGAGTGAGGTAAGAACCCCAGCAGGCCCTGAGTACTGGCAATGGGACAATCAGCAACTGTAGGTTTCTCATAGCCACTTTTACCTACCTGCTGGCTTTCCTTCTTCCAGCCTTCCTGGTCGCTGAGGATGCCCAAGGCCTTCTGCATAGCCACCTCTCCCTGCTGGATATAGGACAGCTCCTGGTCACTGTAGAGTGTCGCTTCCAGCTGAGAACCTGGATATGTAGCCAAGGAAAGAAAAAACCTCTGTCCAGTGTCCTAGCCAATCCCCAGCTCTCCCCCCTTTGCCCTCTGAACGTGTTCAATCCTCAGAAGAGACAAAATCAAAGCCATAGGGTCCTGTCTGCAGGTAGACATGGAAGTTAGGGAACCACAGGCAGGGAACAGAAACCATGAACATTTGCACCCTAAAACCCAGTCCCTGGCAGAAGTCCAGAAGCCCCAACATTTACCAAGCAGAGAGCTCTGACGCTGAACCTGACTGATCCATCCAGTACTGGGGTTTCCTAGTGCTCTCCGGTTCAGCTCTTGGCCAATGGCCAGGACAGCTTGGTGCCTCAGTCCTGCAGGTAGGGAAGGAAACTTTTGTCAAGGAGCTAGAACATCCCCAAGAGAGGGGCCATCCAGTCCACTCATCCTGTAGGAGCAAACTGGCTCAGGAACATCATTCCAGCAGGGACCCAGACTACAGCCATGTCTCTAACGGCAGGTTCGACACTAAACTTCCTCCAGCACTTTCAGGGTCTAACAGTCTCTTTTGCATCTTGGGAAATAGGTGTGAGCTGGTGAAACCCAGCCCTACCTGGACACCTTTTACCTGGTCCATTAGCTAGAAAAAAAGGCTGCTCACTAAGTCACTGGATATGGAGTAGAAAACGTTCTGTCTCCCTAGTGTTACCCCACTGCCAAGATCTGCTTCTTGGCTATACAGTGACAAGAGCACGCCCAACCCTTTGCCGCCTTCTCTTCCTTTTCCTCCTCCTCCTCCTCCTCCTCCTCCTTCTTCTTCTTCATTTTTATTTTTTTGAAACAAGGTAGCCTTGGCTTTGTAGACCAGGCTGGCCTCGAACTCAGAGATCCGCCTGCCTCCTCTAGTGCTGGGATTAAAGGTGTGTGCCACCACGCCCAGCTTTGCTTTTTGTTTCTGCAGGCCAGTTCTCCTGCTCTTCTTCCCAGACAGTGTCTTGGGCTTGCCAAGTCTTGGGCTTAGAGTCAAGGCTGGCTTCTACATTTCTCTACTCCTGTGGCAAAGACTCACCTCAGAACCTTGGTACAGACTCAGTCTAATCCAGAAGGAAGTACTCAGCATCAGTACTAGCTCCAGAGCAACTAGGGGCCTACAGAACTTACAGAATTTGGGTGGGGTGTAGCATCTTAGTATCCAGCCCAATTTCTCAGGTGAAAAACTGAGGTTCAGAGAGGAAAAGATTCACCCAGTTATGAGGCACAACTGGGTGGCAGCCTAGGTAGTCTGTCCCTCACCCAAGATCTATCCCACAAAACCATACTACATAGGGGCTGTAGCAAGCCCTCATGCCCCACCTCAGACTCACCTTTCATGTTCCGCATATGTCTGTAGGAGCTTCCAGCACACAGCTTAAAAGTGGCCAGTAGCATGCTTTCTGGAAGATGTGGCAGTACTGCCGCGGCTGCTGTACTCAAGGATTTGTTCTTCCTGAGCCTTCAAGGTCCCAAGTCCAGCAGCTATGGCTTGGGTCGTGTGCTCTGCCTTAAATGCTTCCAGCGGAAGGCTGTGCATCATCGCTTGAGATAAAAAAGCCATCAGTCACTGTGCTGAGGGTCAAGGATGAAGAGATTGCCTCACATTGAAGTGCTGGCCAAAGTGGGAGGAGGCAGACTGTGTAGAATGGAGTAGAAAGGGCCAGAATCAGCAGGTTGGGGGAAAGTGGTGGCCACTGAAATGGGGTAGTTTGACAGAGGGCATATAGCTCCCCAAAAGTCTTAAATGTAGACTTTAAGCCTTGGCCTCAAGTTCCAGATTTAGCATTCACTTAAATGTTCAGTAATTGGGCTGAATCACCACTATACAGAAACACCAGCAAAGACAGTAAGCCAGGATGAAAGAACCAAAGAGTAAGTTCTTGCAACAAGACCAGAGCTAGGCATGGTGGCACACACCTTTAATCTCAACACTCCCAAGCAGAGGCAAGTGGACCTCTTGTGAGTTCAAGGCCAGCCTGGTCTACATAGTGAGTTCCAAGATAGCCAGTGCTACATAAAAATGCCCTATCTCAAAAATAAAATAAAAAAATAAAAAGAAAAATAAAAAAGCTGCAAGACCATTAGCCTGGATGGTGACAATAACTGGCTCAAGGACAAAAAGGATGTCAGTGTCAGGTCTAGGGCAGTCCTCTGGCTGGCCTTGGCTCCTCTACATGGAATGTGACCTCCCCATCTCCCTGTGTGTTCAATTGTTCATTTATTTGCTCACCCATTGATACCACCTTTAGCAAAGCCCTGTTCTAAGTTCTCATTTTAGAGGACTTTCTGGATATGAGAGGACCCATCCTGTATCAGAGAGAGAGAAGAGAGAGATTAACTTGGGCCTAGGATACACCCTGCTCCTTCCTCACCATTTCCTCATACAGCCCAGGCTAGGCTAGCTCTGCTCCAGGACTTGACCTGTGCAGAAAGGTGGGAAAGATCAATTACTTGGTTATTCACTCCCATTAGTATGCAATCCTGTGGTATTGGCCAAAGATCTATGAATCTTTTAAATTGCCTCAGTTGGTCCCAGACATGCCAGCCAGGGAAAAAAGCTAATTGTACCAGTACTGCTTTGCCAAGCTCTCTTCCTTTCAAACTATCCCAGAGGCTGCTTTTAAGCCAAAATGCTAAGAACGTTGTCAATAAGGTCTCAAGATTTGCCCTGTTCCAGACCTTGTCCTAGACCCTGCCACCAGCATTTGACTTTCGTATCGTGTCACTACTGTCTTGAAATAGGACAAGACCCAAACCCCTCGAGGTAATTAGATATATGAAGCCATACACATCAGCTGAGTCCTATAGCCTTCATTCCTGTTCTGGTGAAGGTATGCAAGAGGTCTTAAAAGAGCTACTGCCTTGAGGCATTGAAGGCCCCAAGGTCTAGTCCCTAATGTCCACCCTAACCATTCTTCTGCTGTGCTCATTTTTGTCCCTCCCAGCTTTCTAGTAGCTTATCCCCCTGGTTCACACCCTCCCAATCAGTGCCCACTGGAGAGGTGTAACCCACTTTTTGGTTCACATCTCTCTTGTGGGATTGTTTTACAAGAGGGTCTAACTTGGGTTGTCCTCAGACTTGCTCTGTAGCTGAACCTTGAAATCCTGATTCTCCTGCCTACAGACATGCTCTGCCACACCCAGCTTCTTCTTTGGGATTACTTCTCACAGGTACTGCTTTCCCCTCAAAGCATTGTTGGCTCCAGCACCCAGTTCCTATGGGGACAGAGTGTTTTCTTCTTCCTGTTGAGGCACTCTTAGGGAAGCAGCCAGGGATACATGGGCATCTTTGGCTCAGACTTGCCCATAGGTGTTACTTCTAGCCTGTGCCTAGGCAGAGGGTGTGCTGACAGGCTGGCTGGCTTAGCTCCTCCCTACCCATTGCTTCGGACACGTGCAGCCTCAGACACACGTGGGTCTTCCTTCAGGGAAGGTGGTAGGGAGTAGAGAGGGGGTTATGTGGTACGGGCCATACAGATAATGTTCAAGGTCCTCTGTTGCCATTCTGTGGAGAATTATGGCATTCAGAGGAAGGAGGGGATAGTGCGGGCGCCCTGGAACACTGAGGCATACAGCTGTTGCTGATGTCAGAGAGCCATTGACTCAGGGAGGGGGTGTTGGATGACCTCCCCAAGTGCCAAGGCTTGCTTTCTCTTTTTATCCTTTCCAGGCTAAATGACCACTTAACTCTTGATGTTCCTCTGAGCATAAAGGTCAAGAAAGGTCCAGGAATGTCCTGATTATGGGCATCTAAATCTGGCTTTCCCTTTTGATTAGAGCTAAGCCTATGCCGAAGGAGACGGGATGGATAGAGCAGGTGGGGAGGTGGGGCAAGGCTTTGGAAGAGAAAAGGCAACTCCATTTATTACCTACTCAACCAGCCTATACTGAATGTCCACTACGTCACTCTATAGTTATGACCTTGTGGGATGACCATGTGACTCCCAGGGACTCAAGGGGGAGCGAGTAAGGAGTGTCACAGAACTCCTCTGGCCTCTGCCTCGCTGGGTGCTGAAATTAAAGGTGTGGGTTACCCAGCTCAGCACTTCCACTTCTCCCTCCATCCCTGCCCCTTGAGTTCTGGATTAAAGGCGAGTGCCATGCCACCATGCCTGACTTTTTATTTTTTGAAAGCTATTCCTTTTTTCAGTTTTTACTCTATTTGCTCTCAGTGTGTATCTATGTACCACTTTTGTGCCTGGTGCTCACGGAGGACCAAACAGTGCATCAGGTCCCCGAGAATTGGAATAGAACTGCGAACTGCCATATGGGTGTGGGGAACCAAACTCCAGTCCTCTAGAAAAGCAGCTAGTGCTCTTGGCTGCTGAGCCTGAGCCCTCTCCTGCCCTTCTTTAAAAGAAAGCTGGGGCTGTCTTGGCCACCATCAGAGAGCAACAAGCATGGCACTGTAAAGGCTGTGGGCCTCAACAAAGGCCACAAGGTGATGACGAAAGTCAGCAAGCTGAGGCCAGTGCCATGGGTACCTGACCAAGCACACCAAGGTGTGAGACATGATCAAGGTGGTGTGTGGCTTCGTGCCCTATTGCTGCTCAAGCACATGGGTGCTCAAGTTCATCAAGAAGAGGGCAGGCATGGTATATACTCACTTTGTAAGTGGATATTAGACATATATGATAAACATACTATAATCTGTACACCTAAAGAAGCTAAGCAATCAGGAGGACCTTAGGTAAGATGATCAACCCTCATTCAAAAAGGCAAATGGGACATCAGAAGAGGAAGAAAACAAGGAACAGGACAGAAGCCACCACAGATGACCTCTGAAAGACTCTACTGAGCAGGGTATTAAAGCAGATGCCGAGACTCAGCCAAACTTAGGGCAGAATGCAGGGAATCTTATGAAAGGGGGAGATAGAAAGACATGGAGGGGACAGAAGCTCCACAAGTAGAGCAACAGAACCAAAAAATGTGGGTCTAGGGGTCTTTCCTGAGACTGATACTCCAACCAAGGACCATGCATGGAGATAACCTAGAACCCCTGCACAAATGTAGCCATGGCAGCTCAGTGTCCAAGTGGGTTCCCTAGTAAGGGGAACTGGAACTGTCTCTGACATGAACTCAATGGCTGGCTTTGATCACCTCCTCTTGGGGGAGTGCTGCTGTACCAGGCCACAGAGGAAGACAATGCAGCCAGTCCTGATGAGACCTGTTAGGCTAGAAACAGATGGAAGGGGAGGAGGACCTCCCCTTGGAGAGGTCCTTGGAGAGGGGCATGGGAGGAGAAGAGAGGAGGCTTTGTAGTCCAGGCTGCAGCTGGACTACAAAGTGAATAAATTGTAATAAATTAAAAAAAATTTAAAAAGAGGGTGGGCATGCACATCTGTGCCAAGAGGAAGCAGGAGGGGCTCCGAGCAACATGCTGGCAGCAATAAGGGTAAGGCCAAGGACTGATGGCCCCTCCCCCAATAAACATTATGACACACACACAAAAAAAAATCGGGGAGTTCACTATGTTGTGGAGGCTGACTGTACTTCAGTTTCCCTAGTAGCTCGGAGCTGCAGGTGCACACCTACTTGGCCCAAAACTAACTTTTGAATCTAGGCCACTTGGTAAATGTTAAAACCTATTGAACAGAGAAGCAAGCAATCTAGAAAAGGTTTGGGGTCGTGATGTGTGACGTAAAGGGCGGACACCACAGTCCAGTTCTCGGGAAGGCCGCTGGGAGAACAGGCATAAGGTGACTGAAGCAGCTTACCTCACTCTGAGCCAGGCTTCTCTGAGATGTCTTCTCAGATACTGCGACACAAATTCTTTACACATGAGATCTGTGGCCTACAGCTAAGGCAGTCCTGGGGCTTGGACTCATGTTACGGATCTCTGTGTACTTTACTAACTCCTGACTGCTCAGTGCCCTAGCAGCCCTCAGGACCTTTTGATATGCTACCAGTCCCTGAAGTGTCTCAGTCAACCTGAACTCACATCCACATTTTCACACATTTGTCTTCTATCAATCGAGCCACTCATCCATCTCTCCTTCAGTAGCTTTACAGTGAAACTTAGTATTTCAGGCATCATTGAGATGTTGGGGCTACACGGTCAAGCAGACAGAACATCCCTAACTTAATTTGGTTGAGAAAGGGTCTATGTATCCCAGGTTGTCCTGGAACTGACGGACTAGGTTGGCCCCCAAATCAGAGGCCCTGTCTCTGCCTCCCAAATGCTGGGATTAAAGGTGTGGATTATCACACATGGCTATTTAAAAGACAGGGACTCATGTAGCCCCAACTGGCCTCCAACTCACAGTGTAGCAAAAGTTGCCCTTAAATTCCCAAGCTTCCTGCCTCTCATGTACTAGGATCACAGACATTACCTAAACACTCAGCAATCTCAGCTCTAAGCATTTCTTTTGAGGACCGACAGTAAACAATGACAACTTTTGTCAGCTGGGGGTGGTGAGACAAAGCTAGAAGGGAAATAGGTGAGGATAGGATTATTTTGAGGGCTTTCTCCCCTATTCCAAGGCTGGGACTAGAACCCAGGACCTTGTGCGTGATAAGTGAGCTTTCCAGCACTGAGCAACCTTTCCAGTCCTAGAGATGGCATTTTGAAGTGATAGTGAAAGATGCTGAACTTGAGCAAAGACCTGAAGGTGGACAGAAAAGCATTCCTACAGT